GAAATGGATCTATTACGGGAAATCACCTATAATCAAGTGCGGAAAAAGTTTAGTCAGTCACTGGTACTTTATTCTAAGCCCCGGTTGTTCGGAGGATGGATAAGGGTATCTACTGGATAAAGCTCCATGTGGTGGAAAACGCAATACGTTTTGCTACCATTTATCCGCTGGATAGCGATTCATTGGTTGGATAGCGTTATCCGGCCCCAGATAATAATAATGCAATTCTAAATTTGAAAATTTAACAGACGTCGTGTATTTCTGGCGGTATAAAGCATCCTCCAAAAGTCTGCAGTATTAAAAATTTTAAACTCACTAATAATGATGTCAACAGCTTGAATCATGGAATGGAGTTAATAAGAAATTTCTGGTTTCGTTCCTTAACTGGAGAAGGAACCATTGATTGAGTTTCAAGGAATTGCAATAGTCCATTTTACAGTTGTGTGCTTGGTTGCCAAGCCTTTGAGCGGGAGTGAGGCTAGAGATGACCTTGTTATGATACAAACCTTGCTGCCTTTCAAATGTAAATCACTTTGTTATCATGCTAACTTGATAAAGGTCTCTATAGCAACAAGGTGATCTTTAGCCTCACTCTGAATCAAAGGCTTGGCAACTAAGTACACAACTGTAAAATGGCCTATTAAGCCTAATCAACTCGCGCCGTTTCGTACTTTCCAACCGCTTTTCAATGCGAGTAAAAAATGAAGGAACAGTTTTTGTAGTCATTTTCTCATAGAATTCCCAATGATGTAGGGCCCTATCCACGTCTGGTTGCAACTGATTAGTCATTGACATATTATGCGCAGTCCGCCCTGACCGGCCGCGAATTGAATTGCCAATAAATATTTTTTTTGGATGAGTTCGATTACGTACGCCGAAAACATATCAGAATTAGCATAAATATTCCAGGCTATCAATTTCAAATTTTCGACTTGTCATACATTTTAAACAATTTTAAGAGGTGAGATTTTTTCCTCCTTAATTTAAGCCTACACAGCTCATGCAAGTCAAATCAAATATAACCAAAAACTCTTTAAGAAAAACTGACAACATTTTAACCTGGACTCAATAGTTTTGAAAATCGTACTCGGCAAAAAAAAAAAAAAAAAAAACCTGCTTCATTTTTCTGCATGCACGTAATGGAGATTGTACGATGTTACAGCAAAACTAGAGAAATTTATTCTAAAATTCTGCCACACAATTCTCTCAACTCGCAAGGAACAATCCAATTAGGTTAGTAGCCTAAAACCAATTTGAAGTATTTACCTTTTGGTTTGACATTTTATTTGTTCATCAAAAAAAATTATGATATCTCTTCTTTTGACAATGGAAGCAAGGCTCAAGTAAAATTGAACCTTACAACATTTTACTTTAACATCATTGTCATATCACGATTTTTTTTTTTTGGAACCAAAGGGTAGTTATGACGAAAGGAGAAGAGATGAAATAAGAGCGCAATAATTAATTATCACTAGAAATTTAGAAATTTATACGTGCTGTTTGTCGCTTCGACGTTTCTTATCTATTTATTTTTATCTTGACCCGAGGAAACAGGAGCAAATAACAATTCTCCTAGTTTGAGGCTGCAGAAGCAAAACACACCGAAAAAAAGGAATCGGAACCCACACTTTGAATTAAGCAAACTGAGGATCTATGAATAGGACAGCTGTAAAAAAAAAAAAAAACCGTCGTTTTTTTTTTACAAATATCCTCTTGATGTAAAAGATGTAAGAAATTAAGCTAAAAAAATAATTACGCAAGAACCCAACTGTCAAGGCAAGGTATTTCAAATGACTGTTATTGCATTGTATGTGTAGGCACATTGTTTACATAGGTAACAAGAAGTAATAAGAAGCGTGCACGGAGGGCGTCTATTTTCTCTTTAACAACCATGGAAATTGCAACTGAACTGAATCTTTTGCCTCTATTGATCCTAATAGCGGGAAGGACGATTGTCAAACCCGCATTGCCCAGGGATTATCATTGTTAGTGACCTTCATTTTTCTTTACTATACGTTGGCTCAGCTTTACAAAAGTGATTTTCCTGACAACGACTTACAGACCCTACTTTGCGCTATATTTTGTTTCTAGTTTCATTGAATATGGAGGGAAAAAAAACTATTTTGCGTCTGGGGAAGCTGGAGACAACGGCGAACAAAAAGCAGCAAAGAATGAGACGACGGGTGAAGTTGAACTTTAAAAGGGCCGACACATACGAACTTTAGCTGAGTGGTAATCTAGGCTTACACGATCTTCAAGGAATTGAAACTTCTCGAGTCCGATTGGCCATTAATTGTGGAACGAATACTAGCATTAACTTTAGTGTTAGTCTTTGCAAAATAAATAATTTTAATGATGTTTTCTCTTGCTCAGGGGAGAAGACAGGAAAGTACTCTGATTGCAGCTCTGTTGTAGAATATGTTTTGCCGTCTTTGTCCTCGTCAGTACATTAAACATAGGAAAACTCCTTCTTTTGAAATTACAGCTACCCCCGTCCCCAGCCTATCAGCGAATGGCGCTTGCGAGCCGTTTATAAACAAACGCCAGTGCGCGCCTGGAAAATAACATTCACTAGAAATAAGATAAAAAATTTCAAACAATTATTGAGAACAAAGACTGACACTCTTCACCAAATAATTTGGATATATCAACAAAGTTGAAATGGTAAATTCGCCACCGTAATGATTACAAAAGCTGACATTTCGAGCGTTAGCCCTTCGTCGGAGCGAATAGAGGAATTGTGGGTTGTGTGTGCTTTTAAAGGCAGAAAATGGAGCTACGTTATTGGTGGCAGCATGGCAACGAGAAAAACATGAATAAATTAGTGGAATGAAAAGCGTTCGTTGGTCCCTGTGGGATTTAGACTGCCGGTTTGAAAGATGAGCTTTTGTTCAAGATTTTTACGGCTCTTCACCAAAGCAAACCTTTCTTTTCCAATTTCTATTTCATTTCACAAAAGTTGAATTCATTTGACTAAAATGGAATTAATTCTCTCACCTGTTTATCGCAACAAGAGCAAGTGTTCCTAACGAGGCGCATGCGACCAACATGACGCCGAACCCTTGAATCTGGCAAAGTAGGTCTCCAAATAACCAGTCACCAGTCATAAGCACTGCTATTGAAAATGGTGCGCACAAATCCAACATTATGACATCAGATATCGCCAGGGAAATAACAAAATACGCGGGTATGTTCCGAAGACGATGATTCTTGTACAAGACCAGAAGTACTGCAAAGTTACCGACTGTGCCTACAGATACGATGAATGCGTACAGAAATGATTCTCCAGCAGTAGAGGAAATCGATCGGGACAACAGTTCCTCGTGTAAAGATGTCGTAGGTGCTGCCATAATCTCAGTTTGCACATCAACTGACCGTCACGCTTTAAGGGAAATAACTACGAATCCACAATGATATTAACATTAAAAGAAAAACAAAATGTCATTCACAAACAAACATGAAAAGGGAAAAATTATCATATGACACCAAATCGATTCGTTTGCACTTAAGAACTGTTTTCTTAGAGCCAATGCAATGTCTTTTACATAACATTTACTTGAAGAGCCCCCAAGAATGAAATCGTAAGAGAAAAACCTCCCCAAATCTTCAATTAACATTCATATTCCTTATAAACACGTGTTCTCCTTGAAAAGTAAGATAAACATTTGAATAACAAATGACATTTAAGACGGATATCTCTGTATTGTCCCCTTTTATAAGCAACCGCTTTTTATTTTCAGGGAAAAAAAGTGTTCAGCTGCTTACAAAGTAAAACCAAAAGGCGATTTGCGCAATAAAAGCCAAAGTTTAAAGTCTAAGTATCAAAATTGTTTGCGTCTAAACATGATGCCGCAAACATTTCAGTGAAGAACATGTTAAATAACAAAAACACATGCTAAGTCTGATATGAATTTTACGTACATCCACGAAGTCTTAATTTTGTATAAAGGAGGTAACTTTCTAAAGAAACTGTTGTGCTGCGTCGGTGGGGATATCGCAGGACATTTGGTTTTTATCAACTTTTAAATTAGGGCTTTTCTCTAGCGAAGGGCTGACACTCGAAAACTGTCTACGGTGGCCAATTTACAAAGTCAACTCAGATGATGAAATAGACAGTTTCCAACTCAATCTCAGCTGTAATTTGCAAATCTGCAGTGGAAATTCAACACCAAGCAGTATTAAAAGACCAAATTGGCATCTGACAAGAATTTTTACTTATATGTGTTTTTTTTTTTAACTTAAATAAATGCTGGGAATAGATGCAAATAATATGTTGCTGTAAGCCATTCAGTAAAAGTTTTGATCAGTAGGTTGATCATTTCCTTTTCCTTTTGGCGGTGTTCTTATCCTTTTGGAGGTCTCGCCTTAGAATCTCTGTCACCTTTTCTTGTTGTGGCCGTGAGTTTGACATGGAGACAGATGTTCCTACTTAAACTGCGGTTTGTGATTGAATATTAGAGTGTTTCCGTTATCTTGCTAAAAAACTGTTTCAGTTACGAAGAAAATGACCTTAAAAAAATCGATCCCGGACAGGAATTTCCTGGAAATTACCCGTCCTATTTTCGGCCCCTTTGATATTCTCGCTTTTTAGGTTAACTCCATGTCGAATTCCCGATCAAGAAAATATTTCTTAAATCTTAATGTAGCACGATCAACACCTCTTTTCTTAAAGGTGACTAAAAGTGTAATAAAAAAAAACTAGTACTTTTAGGTAACTTTTAAGAACAGCACTTTTCTCTTTTAGAGGCGATACCTTGGGTATAGCACGTCCTTTCTTCTCCGAATTTTCTGTTTCTTCTGTTGTTATGTGTAAGTGCTTGAAGGCTATTTTCACTTAAGATGTCTTTTTAAGTATATTTCTGATTCTGTCAATTTGTTCATTGTACGTTTTTATATTGTCAATCTTGTTTTTGTTTTACCCGACCTTGACCGTTAGAGTAAGAAATTTAAGGTAGAAAATGATTTTGTCAAGCGTAAATATCTCGAAGGTACATACTTAGTATGCAGGAACTGTTTCACTTAAACACGAAGGCGCGCTATATAAGAAGTCTTCCCTGGGAAGACCTGGGCTCATTTGTCACTCACCGTTGACGTGTGCGGGTCAAATTTAAATGCTGGTAGACGAACAAAAGGAGCTAATGAGATATCTATTGTTTACTTCCACCAGCATGGTGGCATGAGGTAACGTGCGAACCACCTACTTCGATCTCAAATTTACCGCCACAAATAAAGACAGTTTCCATTGGAGAAAGGAAATACAAATCTCAAAAATTCTTGTATTGTGATGAAGACATAAAACAATTTTGAGGAATGCGCCCGCTGTTCACTGCTTTGGAGTAGCTGTAGCTCAAGCTGACTTGACTCTAAGAGTTCTACATCACACGACGGTTGATTGACAAATGGTCCAGTGGGACCTAAGGCTCCTTTTATAGCGCGCCTTCGTGTTTAAAAATACAGACAGATAACAATAGAAATAACATCGAGATGCAAAAAGGCAAAAAGGGTCAAGCCAGAGAGGAACTAAATTCTCATTGACGGCAGCCCCCAGAATAAAAGCAATATGCAATAAAAATAAAACTAAAATGTAAAGGTAAAAATTATTGAAAAAACAAGTTAATTGATAAATGGATATTGGTGCAATATTATTGATATTATTTAAAAATGTGTTCTTTCAGTTTTTTTTTAAACTTACTAGCAGAGCTAGAGCTAACTATGTCACTTGGCAAGTCATTCCAGATTTTTATATATTTATACCAAAAAGAGTTCTTGAGGATATTTGTTCGAGCATCAGGCGTCCAGATTTTGACATTGCTTAGTAAGTGTCACCTTTGTAAGCTGGTTACCACCATTCTCACTCAGATCAGAGCTAGTCCCCGAACTGTAAAGTTATTTTATAATAGTTACTACCGAACGAAAGATCGATTCAACGCGAGTGTTCGAGACGCTTAAAATGTCTTCTAACAGTTGTCTTTTCACATTGATTATAAGGCGAGGAGATTATCCGATGTAGCTTTTCACAAAAAAAGGCCATAACCTATCGCGACTGTTGCCAAAAGTGCAAATTAAAATCTATGGACCTAGCTCGTCGCTGGTCGTGTGAAAGATGACACATTGATCTTTTACAGTTAGAGAAGCTGAACAGAAGAGCTTAAAAAAAATCGAAAGAGATTTGCACTTAACCCCTCTCAAATATGAGAGCAAGGTAAATCTCTGTAGCTTTTTCCCTCAAATTTGTGCCTCGAAAAACAGTATGTCGTATTTCATATATAGCAATCATTGTGATATCATTCTAAATATCAAGAAAACAGAATGAAAAGTTATAAGATGCTAACGAGACACATTTGGTGTTTTCCCTATCATTTCGGCTAAACCTATGTCTTGAACCTATGTCTCCTGTTCATTTCGACTAAACCTATATCTACAACCGCAGTTCAAAATATATGAACTTCATATATTCATTGTACCTATGTCTTTGTTAGACTAAAAGCGCGCTCACCAAAAGAAATAGTCCGGCTATACCATGTAGAGAAATCCATCGTCAATCACAATAGACCATTTTAAAGTTGTGTACTTAGTTGCCAAGCCTTTGATTTGAAGTGAGGCTGAGGGTGACATTGTTGTGATAGATACCAGTATCTAGTTAGCATGATAACAAAGAAATTTGCGTTTGAAAAGCAGCAACATCTGTATCATAACAAGGTCACTCTTAGCCTCACTCCTGTTCAAAGGCTTGGCCACCAAGCCCACAACTGTAAAAAGGACTATTGGCAGGCGACATCAATAAGCCTTTGAGCTAATCTCTTGCGAGCTCGAAGCTCTTAAAAAATTACCAAGTCATTGTTACGTTAAACGGTAGGGTCACTCATTTTCAATTAAAGCTAAGTGTGCGACACAAAGAAAGCGGTTCTCTGTATTGTATAGGCGGTGATACACAAATATACAGGTGAAAAGCAAACTTTTCTCGGCACGTTAGAGCACTGGCCCATGGGCTTTCTCTTTCAAGTCTATTGTGTGTAAAACAGTCTCTATAACACACAGGTAAATAGTGCTTTTCATGCACGCTTATTGGCTAGATAGGAAGTGATTAGCAAGTATTATTTACCTCCGAGCAGCCAAAGAGACAAAATTGCGCGTTAAGAGTTTGATTTCTCACCATTTTCAGTTTATTGACATGAAAAAAATAAAATTTTGGTATCCGTGTGTAGCATTTGAAGGAAAGCTTGAGTAAAAACACCTAATCACAGGTAAACAATGCGCAGAAAATAGGCACCCAATTCTTGTTAAACGTGCAGTAATTGCTAATTTGACTGTTACCGGAACAAAAATGCCCCTGTCAGTTAACGATCTTGAATGGGAGAGATCACATACGAATTCGCTTTGTAAGATAGCACATAAAATGATATCGATTGCGACAACAATAAACCACTTTCCACTTAATTGTGCACTGAGCAAAGGCAGCGGAAAAAAAATTGTTTAAAAAGAAAGAATAAGAAATGTAGTTACAGGACTACTCAGCAGGTGTTCATAACAATGGTTTACTCTCGTAAACAATATTTATCAGCTTTTAAGCCGAGCTTTTGTTCTGCTCAGTTTGATTATTAAAACCTGTCATAGCAAAGACGGCATGTGCTAGAAGCCTTTGTATAAGACAATAGGATACGATTCATCTTAGTGGCCCTTAATCTTACAAGTCTTTAAAAAAAATCACCTAGGAATATGCTATAGAAATAAATGACTTATTTACCAGGAAAGCCGCCCTAGTTTCGCCACTTTATTCGTGATATTTGCATTTAACACACACATACACACGCAAATTGCCTTAATATCACCAAGGTATTGCCGAAGCTAAGGCTATGCTAGTAAATAATTCATTTTATTTCTAAGACACACGTAAAATTTCAAATTATACATATAGGAAATGAAGTCGTCACTGGAGGAAAATAATTCCAACTGCCATTCGATCGGAGGAAAAGCATAATAAAGATAAAAGCCTCATTCAAAAGAAAAACTTTCGATTCGTGATTTCATTCGCAACAATGATACGTGACACGCAAGCAGCTTTTGGCGCGAAGCAAGAATCTGGAGAAGTGACTTCGCCACTTAACCAGATTCTTAACAACTTCGGTGTATTAATGCAGAGTTCAGATTTGCAACACGAAGATATTTGCAGTTCAGTATAGAGTCTGTAACTAATCAGTTATGCCAAGGTAAAACCACATACATAAACATTGCACCCGACCTTTTTTGACAAAGTGAGAAAGACAGAAATACCTGTAGTTACTTCTTAAAAGATAAAAGAGTTTTCCTGTCTGGTCGGCTAGAACCTTAGCAATCTCCAGGAGGTTTCAAGCTTCTGCTTTCCATTTTGGCACTCGGCCTACTGCCATTTACTTTTCCTGTAATTACTCAGGTGATTACACAAAAGCGTGCGCTCTGATTGGCTGACGAAACGTCATATCCTGCTGATATCACTTTGCACGAGGTAATTTAATAGTAAGAAAAAGATATATCTCTTTGAAACATGTAAAACGATGTAACGGTAGGCTTCGGCCATCATCCTGCCATTTTTCATCTCATACTGTCATTTCTCATATACATGGCCGCCTCGTAATTTCTCGATATTTCTCAGAAAAAAACGTCTAAAATGATCTCCTGGTGCTTGAATTTTGTAGCTCCTTGAATGTCATTTTCAATATAATTACGCCCTTAATTGTTGAAATATTGACAGGAGGTTATCAATTACGCCTCGATTTACTGATGTTGCGTAATAACAGCACGTACAGTGAGGCTATCTATTGCAAGAACTATGAGAAGAGAGTGTAAATACAGAACGGGAAATAAGATATTTATCAAGGAACTCATAGGAAATTTGAAACGGGGGCAGAGCAAACTGATTAGACAAAACCTGCAAAGTATACTAAAGAAGCGTTTCAACTGAGTATAGAAAGAAGTCGAAAGAATGAATATATTAATAAAGAAATATAGACCAGACCTACAGGCTCAAGTTTAATTCAAAGGTACTTTAGCCTGGAAACTGAGCGGATCAGATTATGTATCAGCCTACTGTAAAACAATAGATTTCATATTTTAGGAAAAAATATGTTCTGGGCCCTTCAGAGTCATTTTAGCTGGGATAAAAATAAGCCACGAGAAGGACGCAAAACTTATTTATACCCAAGAACATAAACTCTATTATCATTACAAGAGAAGGTAAAATCCTCTCTTGTTATTAGTACCTTTTTGGAGGGCTTGAGAAAACTGAAAAAATAGAAGGAAGCTTAAACGGTATGAACAATCCCGCGAGCGTGCGAACGGGCTACAATACGTTTTAGGCGACAAAATACACCACAAAGCCAAAATATAGCATTACAACAATTCACCGCTTGTTTCTCGAAGACTAAGGTCCACACAGTTGATTCCTTTCCATGTATTCAACTCTATTCGCCTCGCTCTTAGGGGTCCTCAATACGACAATAACTCAACAGCAGAGACTGATTTATACTTTCTTTTGAGCTTCAATCCAGTAACAGACTGCGAAATAATACAGGATCTAGAATAACATTAACCTCGACAGCTAAGAAAAAAATTAATAATAAAAAGGGCAGATTCGAAGTTAGACAATATCCACTCGTTCGATGAAATTTTATTTTTCTTTTCACTTGATTGTTCGAGGTAATCACTAAAGGTTATCCCCGTTAGGACCCTCATGAGATTTAGCATCCGCTGGCAACAGTGTTGAGATCCTTCATGTTTTCCACACGTCAGCTCCACGTGTCTTCTTCACCGCCTTGAACCCTTTGCTCAACGGAAGAACCTGATGCTTTTTAATCGTCTGCAGTGCACCAGCGGTGTTCCCTGAAAACAAACAACAAAATTATAAAAACTGACGTTTCGAGCGTTAGCCCATTCGCTCCGACGAAGGGCTAACGCTCGAAACGTCAGCTTTTGTAATCGTTACGGTGGCCAATTTACAAAGTCAACTCAGATGATGAAATAGACA